TATACCTTGTAAATCAGCAAGTTTTTTTCTTTGGCCTATAGAGAATTATGTGTTCATACTTAAACTGATGCACAGTTTTTAACTAGCTTTTAGAGACTTTGTGTGCTTATATGAAGAAGTGTTATCTAATTACATATCACAAGTGACTTTTACTCCTTTTTGAACTAAAATTAAAGTAATGATACTTATAATTTGATTTGATTAGTGAAATTAAAAAAAAAAAATTTTTTTTTGTTTTTTTTAGTGTTAACACTAAATATAATCCAAATTAAGGAGAAGAAGTTTAAAATTAGATTATTATCAATCTTTATTACATATTACATTATTAATTAGTTATCCGTTTTAAGAAGCTAGTCTACATATTTTATAAAACTATCAAACAAACCCTCACAACATTTGATAATCTATTTACGAAATATTTTTAATGTGAATATCACTATTCAAATCGTAAAATATACACACGATAAAGTAATTTGAACATCAGAAAGGCAAACTAACTCCAAAGACTTCACGGACAAAAGTAAAGATATTCGTTGAAATTAAAAGAACACATTGAACTTATATGATAATACAAATATACTCAAGTCAATACCTTCGAAAGTGTTATGGAAAATATGAATATCACGTGCAAGTAAGACAGCAACTTAATAACAATAGTAGTGATTTATCATTACAACCGGTTTTTTGTCTTTGTCACGTGACCTTCAGTGTTTGTGACGGTGGTTCTCAATCAGAAAAGTGGCACTAGGAACTGAACCACTAGCTACCGTTGATTAAGAGCTCCCCACTACCATACCTACATCAAGATCATCAACCTCTCCTTCTAACACCTGTCCAAAATAATAAATTTGAGTACAATTCCAACACTGCAGCTTTATCTTATATTATACTTATTTTATTTTAAATGATTAAAAGTATTTTATCCTTATATTATATATCAATAAAATATAAATATGTGTTATAAATGTATAGTATGATTGTTAGTCAATTCAAGACTGAACAGTTCGCTATTATTAAGCGTCAAAAAGAACCAAACAATTAACTTTAAGCGAGAATTATAATGCTGATAAAGATTATGTTAAATCTAGATATAATTATTAATAATTAGATCGTTAGATTGATATTAATTCAAAATTCATTCTAAAGTTTATAAATAAAAGTTTAAAATGTTATAATAATTTGTTTATATTTAATACTAAAGTTTATAAATAAAAATTTAAAATATTATAATAATTTGTTTATATTTAATACGTATTTATTGTTTGTATTACTAAATTTTACTAACTTTTTGTATATTTTTTTAAATAATTTTCTAGTTTGACCGATATAAAATAAAAGAAAAAATTTAATTTAAGCTTGCTAGAAAAATAGATAAAAAAAATTGAACTCGATTCACATATCAAATAGTAAAAACACATAAACAATATAGTCAAATAAAAATAAAAATATATAACAATGAACGCGTTTCAATATTATACTTCTACACATGTACATCAAAATTTACTAAACTTGAATATTACAATTTATCAGTTTCTGATATAGCAAATTCTCATTTACGTTACAATTTAATGATAAAGGGATTTTATTTATACAGTAACATTAATATAACTGACGCACGTGAAATATATATATATATATAGACTAACGAGAAACACAAGTGAATCATGTTTTTAAATAATGAGTTAGACTTTAACTTAGACGGTGTGTTTAACATTTAATAAACATTAAGATACTATAAAGTTTACTAATACAATCTACCATATATAATAATAATTGTATATATTAAAATTAGACAATAGAACCTCTGCAGTATAAATGCATATATGGGCAAAGTACGTTGGCATAAATAAAAAGAAAGTACGTTAAGATAATTAAAGAGACATAAAGGTAGGAAAGGAAAACTTGTGTGCGGTAGGGGAAAGTTCAATGTTCTTATGTGTTAAGGAACATTCATGACTAGAAGTGGTCGCTAACATGGGAGCGTTTTTATCATCACGCATTAATTATCCAGATAATAAAATTATCGGACAGTCTAACAAAAACAAATATATAGCCAATGATAAGGAAAATTATATCTCAATATAAAAGAAAATTTTAAGGATATTTGCACTGTACATAATTGATCAATATTAACTGAATAAAACTACCAAAATAAAATATTATATGAATGATAACTTACCAGAAATTACAAACTACTAGATCAGAAGATTTTGAGAGAAAAACTCTCCATCATGTTACTTCTCTCTCAACAAACCGATGGATCCCCTAAAAGATGTCCTCCCTAAGCTCACACTAGTTAAGGTGATCATTGCAAAAGAGAAAACAACACAGACAGACAAACACAAAAGCAAGGGTAAGTTAGATACAAGACAAATCATATCACCTTTATAATATAACATACATAAATCATTTATATCACATACATCAACCCAAACATCTTAACATGCAAAGACCTAGACTGACTATCCAGATATTGCATGGAATGTCGGGTTACAGAGGTTCTTGCACCGGTGTGGTGGAACAGCTGGACCACCCCAAGCTACCACACCAAGTTAGTCCGTTATTACTCGCCTTAGGCCAAGCTAAAGCCCCTAGATAGGACCTCCTGCTATTCTCACCACATGACTCATCACTCTCTACTTGAGCATGAATGATCATTATAATGTCAGGATAAACCCCGACTAACTTCGTCCATTCATACTATCAATACTTGAAACCATATCGTAGGATTTCCTCCGTGGAACCCATGTTCACAACTTTGAAATCTTTGATATCACTTCACCTTTACATTGAATCCATTTGAAACCATACTTATATTCATATACTTCCACATTGAATTCCCACATATAACATCATTGATCATATACATAACATTGTTTTCAATTCATATTACAAATCAATTCATACTCCACAACAAGTAGTAGAAACCAATCATTCAAACACTCACATACATTGCACACACTTTAAGAAAATATGTAAAAACTTAGTTAAAAATCTGATATTTTATCTCAGCCACCATTTATGCTCGCTAAGCTAAAAGTGTTTGCTAGCCCATTCGCTCAACCACCAATACTCGTTGTGCGAAAACAGAAACAATAGGCTCTGCTCACTCACCTCTCGCTCAGCTAAAAGTGTTCTGCTCGCTCAGTGGACACATACTTGCTCAATGAGACTGCATAATTCTGCAACACCAAAACTGCAGAATTTGCATTCCTCAACCACTCATGATCTATCCTATGTATCTTTTCCAACTTCTAACACTCCTAGATTGTATTCTAAACTAAAATTGACCTAACCAAACGCATATAAACCAACCTAAACTCGTTTCAAACTAATTAACCACAAGATTTCAATCTAAAATTAACCAAAACCTCACTTTATAGACTCAAATTGAATTATACCAGTTATAGTTTATTTTAAACAACTTAGGGACTCCAACAAGTCCCAGATGACTTATTAACACCCTCTAAAATGACCATTTATACACAAAACCTAAAATTCAAAATCTCACTAGTTCAAACCCCAAAAATACACTTAATCAACTTTGTAAAACTACTCCAAAATGACTATTACTCCAAACTAACACACCTATCAACTAATTCTGATCCCGACAAGTTACAAATGACCAAATTAACTGTCCTGAATCACAAATTCTCACTTTATACTAGTATTTCAGAAAATCACATCTCAAACCTCCATTTTAGACCAAATTGACTAATAACTCTACTCCCACCTTACTCTTAACATTTCAACCGAATTTAACACCAACACAATCATACTAACTACAATCACAAAGTTACTTTAATTTCACACAAAACTCACACAAAGTATAAAGCATCATACCATTCATTATTCTTAGTCAAACACAATTAACATTAAAAAAATCATTTTAGACATATCCAACATTATATAATAACATACATATCAATAATCACAATTTCACACATTATTATCAAATTTTAAGACAAACAATAGCTTTCCTTGCCTCTCAAAAAAACTACCCAACTCTAAGAACGCTTCGTTGATTACTTGAATCGCAAGGAATACCTAGACGAATCTACGAAACACCAAATTGGAAACACAGAGAGTCCTTCAAACTCTATATCAACAAAAAACAAAGGAAGAAAACCAATTGATACATGCAAAACAATTTCTAGGAAGATGATACGTTTTAAAATAATAAAACTCGTTTATAACAAGATTATTTATAAATAAACTATTTAATATTAAAATAATCGAGTTTCACTGTTTTTAAACTACTATCACTTTTAAAATATATATTTTTTTAGTTTTACAATATAGGTGACAAGACTTATAATTACGTGACATCTTTATTTTTATCTTATTTTATAATATATTTTTTTATTTATTTTGTTATATATATTAAAATTTTAAATTAAAAAATGGAAGTATTTTTTTTCTGTAAAATATCGTATCACAACTAATTCACATCATTTATGAAATTAGTAAGCTTCACCCGTCATTTTATTTTCAAGTCACATCCTTAGTGACATAACCTCTCACATAAACTTTGATATAATTCATTTTTTCCATCTCATTATACAATCAAATTATACTTTATAAATAAATTTAAAACTGATATGATAACACTATTAAATTTTTCGAAAGGACTTAGGTCTTGATCTTTTGATTTTACTTAGTAACCATAAAACCCTTAAAAAAGAAAAGTCTTTAAATTTTCTTATTTCAACACTTTCCAATATTTTTTTTTATAAAAAGATCTTAATGACTTTTTTTCTTGAAGAATCGTCCTATATAAGTTTCTCGGTGTGTCATACTATCTAGAGATATTTTTCAATCAAGTATATTGATACATATTCGATGGACTCTTTTCAATGACGTATTCTTGTTGACCTCTTCAAGAAATATTGCATACTAATTATTAATTAGGGTAAATAATTGAATAATACCATGGAATAATTCAGATAAATTTACTTTGATGAATTAAATGTAAATTTTTGTTAAATGAAATTTATTTATATAGATATATGGGGTGGATGATTATTGAAGGGCTGAGTGTGAAGCTATGTCCCCACAGAGGATGATGCTGTTGTCAACGATCCTAATCCTCTTCTATGGAGATCTGAAGTCAAGCAGCACAGGATCTCCAGATATCCACGATGTTCTCCCTGAGTACGGTTTTCCAAAGGGTCTTCTTCCGAACAACGTGATCTCCTACACCCTCTCCTCCGACGCCTCCTTCATCCTCCACTTAGATGCTCCCTGCTATGTCTACTGGGAGAACCAGTTGGTCTACTACAACACCCTAATCAAGGGCACCCTCACCTACGGTTCCGTCTCCCACGTCTCAGGGATTCAGGCTCAGAAACTCTTCCTCTGGCTCCCCGTCACCGGAATCAAGCTCCACCAGGATTCCGGCACGCTTCAGTTTTTCGTCGGAGCTTTTTCGCAGGAATTCCCCGTCACCGACTTCCAAGATGTACCTGGGTGCGCCCGTACAGGATCGCTGCTCAATCCAAATCTTTTCCTTCCTCTGTAACCCTCCTCTTCCTTCTTCCTTCTCTCCTCCGTCTTCTTCAAATTAAAAACTTTATTTTACCAACTGAAATAATATTCATTAAAATCTGTATGCATTTGGAGTGAAATTTCATCATCATTAAATNATATATATATAGACTAACGAGAAACACAAGTGAATCATGTTTTTAAATAATGAGTTAGACTTTAACTTAGACGGTGTGTTTAACATTTAATAAACATTAAGATACTATAAAGTTTACTAATACAATCTACCATATATAATAATAATTGTATATATTAAAATTAGACAATAGAACCTCTGCAGTATAAATGCATATATGGGCAAAGTACGTTGGCATAAATAAAAAGAAAGTACGTTAAGATAATTAAAGAGACATAAAGGTAGGAAAGGAAAACTTGTGTGCGGTAGGGGAAAGTTCAATGTTCTTAAGTGTTAAGGAACATTCATGACTAGAAGTGGTCGCTAACATGGGAGCGTTTTTATCATCACGCATTAATTATCCAGATAATAAAATTATCGGACAGTCTAACAAAAACAAATATATAGCCAATGATAAGGAAAATTATATCTCAATATAAAAGAAAATTGTAAGGATATTTGCACTGCACATAATTGATCAATATTAACTGAATAAAACTACCAAAATAAAATATTATATGAATGATAACTTACCAGAAATTACAAACTACTAGATCAGAAGATTTTGAGAGAAAAACTCTCCATCATGTTACTTCTCTCTCAACAAACCGATGGATCCCCTAAAAGATGTCCTCCCTAAGCTCACACTAGTTAAGGTGATCATTGCAAAAGAGAAAACAACACAGACAGACAAACACAAAAGCAAGGGTAAGTTAGATACAAGACAAATCATATCACCTTTATAATATAACATACATAAATCATTTATATCACATACATCAACCCAAACATCTTAACATGCAAAGACCTAGACTGACTATCCAGATATTGCATGGAATGTCGGGTTACAGAGGTTCTTGCACCGGTGTGGTGGAACAGCTGGACCACCCCAAGCTACCACACCAAGTTAGTCCGTTATTACTCGCCTTAGGCCAAGCTAAAGCCCCTAGATAGGACCTCCTGCTATTCTCACCACATGACTCATCACTCTCTACTTGAGCATGAATGATCATTATAATGTCAGGATAAACCCCGACTAACTTCGTCCATTCATACTATCAATACTTGAAACCATATCGTAGGAGTTCCTCCGTGGAACCCATGTTCACAACTTTGAAATCATTGATATCACTTCACCTTTACACTGAATCCATTTGAAACCATACTTATATTTATATACTTTCACGTTGAATTCCCACATATAACATCATTGATCATATACATAACCTTGTAACAAATTCATATTACAATTCAATTAATGCTACACAACAAGTAGTAGAAACCAATCATTCAAACACTCACATACATGGCACACACTTTAAGAAAATATATAAAAACTTAGTTGAAAATATGATATTTTCGCTCAGTCACCAAGTTTGTTTGCTTAGCTAAAGCCCACTCGCTCAATGCACCAAGTCTGTTCGTTGAGCGAAAACATAAACAGTGGATTCTGCTCAATCAACTCTCACTCAGCGGGGAGTTCGCTCAATGAAATTCATAATTCTACAGCACCAAAACTACAGAATTTGCACATCTCAACCACTCCTGACCAATTTTATGTATTTTTCCCAACTTATAACACTCCGAGATTGTATTATACACTAAAATGGACCTAAGCAAATGTATCTAAACCAACCTAAACTCATTTTAAAGGTATTGATCACAAGATTCCAATCCAAAATTAACTAAAACCTTACTTTATAGACCCAAATTGAAGTCTACCATTTATAGCTTGTTTTTAAACAACGTAGGGACTCCAACAAGTCTCAAATGACTTACTAACATCCTCCAAAATGACCATTTAAACACATAACAATGAATTCAAATTTCCACTAGTCCCAACCCCCAAAATACTAGTTCTAAACCAAGCTAGACTCTACTTATCAACCACCAAACACTCTTACATCTTTCCTCCATTTCAATGCTTAGACAAGTCATAAAACATCTCATAACAGACCCTAAATGCCTCAAACCAGTTTACCATCCTTCTCTCACCATTTCACTACCTAAAACCTTATTTTTCAATCAAAACACTTCCAAACTTCAATTATAAACCATAATTTTTGCTGCATATCAATTTTCAACCATCTAACTCTTTTAACAAGTCCCAATTAACCACCTAACAGTATGGACCAGTTCTCATCTCACTCCAATACCAAATTCTCAATTTCACACACCAAAACCCCTCTTTTAAGCTTGAAACTAAAGTAATTCACTTTCCATTACTCCAACCACTTTAAGATCACCATTTAAACCAATATACAACCTTCAAACACATAATATAACAGTAAAACAATCTGAACATATCACACCAAACATTCAAACATCAGACCACCTTGAATCATCATTTAAAACTCAAACATCATTGGAACAACCAATACAAATACATGCAATTCATTTTATACTACATAGATATATTAAATTTAGATCAACATAATAATCTAAAACAAGTTCTAGCTTCCCTTACCTCTCAAAGAAACTGCCCATCTCTAAAAATGTTCCGCCGATTACTTGAACCGCAAGGAATACCTAGACGAACCTACAAAACACCAAATTGGAAATGAACAAAGTCCTTAGAACTCTAGATGAGTAAAAAACGTATAGGAGATGCATGACTACACATGCAACAATACAATATTCCTCTAAAAAAATTTAGGAACGGAAGGGGAAAAAGGAGTCGAAACTTATTTGCTCTATTAAAGAAACTGATCAGTTAGATTTGTAGACCTCGTTGTCGTGGTTGATTAGGTACCTCCTGATCTTCAAAGAGATGACTCAGGAGTTAGAACTCTTAGAGAGAAGGTAGAGAACTCTAGAAAAGTGATTTCTAGAGAGATGATACGTTTTAAAATAATAAAACTCGTTTATAACAAACTTACTTATAATAAAACCGTTTAATATTAAAATAATCGAGTCTCACTATTTTTAGACTACCACCACTTCTAAAATACCATTTTCTGGGGTTTTACAAATAACATGATCATCGTAAGCTTCGCGAATAGATTGGCAATCTACTTCAACATACTTGGTGTGCTCATGGAACACTGGATTTGCGACAATTTGAATAACACTTGTATTGTCAAGATAGAGAGGTGTTGGATCATGTTAAGGGAACCTAAGTCTATCCAAAAGAACACGAAACCAAATTATTTCAAAACAAGTAGTAGACACAACACAATACTCTAAATTCAGTAGAAGATTTATATATGTAGGTTTTTTTTTTACTTTTCCATTAGATCAATGTAGAACCTAGGAACATGCACAAACTAGTGACTAATTAGTGAGTGTCAAGACAACCAATCCAATCAGCATCACTATAAGAAAATAATTTATGAGGTATGCCAATGTGAAAAAGAATAAGTCTCATATAGAGGTACCTTTCACATAATACACACATTTGCAGCCTATATAGGTTTGATATTAAGAAGGCGAGAAATAATATATTATATGAAGTTCTGTATTAGAGCCTAAAGTTCATCATTTATTGTCTTTATCCAACATATATCTTTAACAACTTGTGAGGGACAAGTAGAAATAAATGTGTCAGAAAGGGAAATTATTAGAGAAGTTTGAGAAAAAGAAAACATGTCTGACAAATACCTATTAGGAGCTCGAGATATTCAACCAGATCATCGTGGTTCAACTAGTACAAATATAGGTGGCGAATTAGAGTCAGAAGAGGAAATTGAAACTTGTTGACGACATTGTCCTATATATGTCATGCTAGCTTGGAAACATTCTGCAGATGTGGTAAAGTAGAAAAATTGAAAAGAATAACAACATCATTGAAGTAGGTGACAGACAAGGAAACATAATTTTACTATAAAAATGTCACATTCCTGGAAATGCAAAACATCGATTAAAAGTATTATAACACAAAAAAACCCTTATGAAAGGGACTATACCCAAAATACACATTAGACAGTTATGCCCAAAGCTATGCCTTTCAAGCGGAGGTAAATGAACAAAACATACATACCCAAAAATATGCAAAATATTATAATCAGGGGAAGTTTTAGAAAGACAAAAGAAAGGAGAGCCAAAATCAATAAATATAGAAGAAAGGCGATTGATTAAAATCACAACAATGGATAGAGCCTCTACCTAAAATTTGGATGGAATAGAAGCTTGAAGAAGCAATGTGAGGTCACATCAAGCAGTTGACATTTTTTAGGTTCAACAATATCATTTGTCTCGAGAGTATTAGGACAAGAATGTTGAGATACAATATTGTTTTGATAAAAGTATTTTGAAACTCATGAGACATGTATTCACTGCCATAATCAAAGCAAAAAGTTTGAATTTTGGTTTGGAATTGAGTTTCAACATATGTCATGAATTTCTTAAACATGAAAAACACCTGAGAGGAAGAAAATATATCCAAGTAAAACGACTATAATGATCAAAAATGTGACAAAATATTATAAAGAGCATGAGAAGCTATAGGGACATACTCCAAACATTATTGTAAATTATTTCAAATCATACAAAGCACAATGAACACTAGTTGGAAAAGGAAGAATTTTATTTTTAGCCAATTTTCAAATAGAACAGAAGATGTGTAATTGTCTTTCTCTTGGATAGTCATGGTGATGGTTAAAAGAACGAGCAACAACATTGTTGAAGTGCAAAGCAAGAAGTCCAAAACCACGAATAAAATCGCAAAAAAGAACAGTGTAAGAACCATAAACAAAATGAATAAGGGAAACCACAAACTGGGATCACAAACAAAAACAGTGGGTCAGCCACGAAAGCCACAAAACTAGAAACAAGAACTACAAAACTAGGAAAGCCTCAAGTAAGAAAGAGAAAAAAGATGTCGATCGTACTTAGGTTGATACCAGATAATAAATGTTAAGACAAGATCATCTAAATAAACCTTGTTTTGAATTTAACATAACGAAATAATGTTTAATCGTCTAGGATAAAAGATAAGAAGCACTAAACGCTATAAGGTTTATACTAGAGCATCTAAT